AAGATTCTTTCAAAAAGAAAGAGTTAACTGAAGAAGAAAAACGAAAGATTGAAGAGAGAAAGAAAGCATGGACTTTAACTTTATTCATGAGATTGTGTAATGTTTGTGAAGATGAAGCAAGGTATTATTTATCTATACATGATTTCGATTTTAAAGAAGCACTTCAAGAACATAAGAGTGATTTAGAATGGGAGCGAGAACATAATGAGAAATTGAGCAAAAAGAAGAGAAAGAAGCAAATTGACAATTTTTTAGATGAAAACCCAAGAGTAATGAACATTTTAAGATATTTATCATTTTGCATTCCAAACAACATCAATTCTCGAAAAAAGAACAAGGATGTAGAATTAGATTTGATTCAGGATGATGTGATAGAATATGATAGTGATTATTGAAATAAAGCAAAATCTTCCTATCATTTTATATCAGTAAGATCTTTACTAATCATATGACTACCTCCAAGAGTGACTCTTGAATCTAACATTTTCTTATTAGAATCTGTTGAAGATTTTTGTTAGTGAAACTATTCGGGATATTGGACCAATCCTCTTTGCATGCAAACAGTTTTCATCCTTGCAATTCAATTTAATTTTATTTCTCATTGAAAAGAGATTCGAAACTATTTACTGTTAAACCTAACCAATATCTATCCATCCTTAAATTGAAACCTAAACTTGATGGAATAAACTTTTTAACACCAGACAACTTGGCAGCATTTGTGAGTTGAAACATTTTCATGAGAGAGAAATTCTTTTACAATTTGAGATCCAAGATAACCACTGGACCCATTTCAACAGATGGATGCTTTGAGGAGGACATGTTTGATTATAATAAGATTAATCATCCGGAAATAAAAAGAAAATTGGAAAAAGACTACAGCACCACAGGTTCCCAAGTTGTCTCCAACCTCAGTACTGATGTGGCTCGACGATGCTTAACTTCTCAAATCGGACGGGATGAGGTGTATTCATCGTGATATGGCCGTAGCCATTAGTGTATCAAAATGTGAAACATAAATCAACTTCTCACAACTCTCTACCTTTCAAATCAGAAGATGAGAGATAGTAAAGGATAGAGAGCTTGGACACCCATCTCTTTTATTAATTTGTTTATGCTGATAATGCTGGGTCGAACATTCCCAAGTTTCCTCAATTAACAATTCTAAACTCTTTAGGAAGAAACACTTACCCTTTCTGTAATAATAAAAAAATTAAAAACACAAAAAAATGCCCAAACTTGAAATTTTATCCTTGAGCGAATTTGTAAAACAAAATTCCTCAAATGACAAAATCATCTCGGAAATTCAATCCACAGTTCATAAAATTTTCACGAATGGTATGATTGATGGAATTCCAAAATATTATTTTAATGAATATTCGGAATTTATTGGATTATTATTTGGTGATGGATTATTACATACTGTGAAATTTAATTCTTGGATGGCACTGTTTAAGGATTATTTTGGATTTAAAATTCATATTGTTGTCTGGTCTGTTTTGTGCATTTGTTGGTGGTTGATTGGCATGATTTTGAAAGTTGGTACATTTCAAGTATCAGCAATC